GCATAATTAATAGCTGGCTAGATACAGGAGCACAAATGGGAAGAGAGACAACAGATGCTAGATATGCACAAGTAATAGGGATGGCTAGTGATAGGGAGTCAATGGATGATTTAATAATAGAGGATGAATGACACGTGAAAGGCATGAGATAGATGGACAGACAGACCCAGAGCTAACATTTCAAAACAAATCAGTGGAGCTGTCCACTGGGAACCTGAAAAGGAACGTTTATTTTAAGGCCCAAACCTTGTCTTGCCTCGCCTGATAGAAATAGTATCTGAAACTGTGAGGGTAGATCAAGTCAGCAAGAAAAATAAAAGGGGGAAGGAGAGAGAGAAAGAGGAGGAGGAAGGTAGGGGTGGGGAGGAGAGAGAACCTTGCAGTACAGCTCTAGTTATCAAGAGAACATGAGGACAGATGGACACGACATTCAGAGGGTGTGTAGCAGCACTGAAGTCAAAGGAATCTGCCCCACTTATGTTCCCGAGTAGGTGTCTCTGATAATTGCTTTGAAAAACAGAGTATAAATAAAAGTCTGTGGGTGGTGGCAGAACGACATCCTTGTTTTCAGTTCAACTGAATCTGTCCTGCCCTGCCCACCAGAGGTGTGGGGATCCACTCAGCTCAGACTGGGTGACTCCCACAATTTCTTATGGCTAGAACAGCCAGCAAAGCCTGCCTTCCACCCCTTCCCCCTGACATCTCTTCACTAGCTCCCCATTTCAAACTCAGGCTGGGAGACGACACCCTTTGTGGCCACACAGCACACCTGACACCATCTTGTGGCACTCAGATCTTTACATTGTGAATATGGACTTTGCTATTGTCTACCTGCATCTCTAGATCCCTCTCTGATGGCTGTTTTCCTCTGTTGGTTAACCAGGATTCTCTTGGGGAAAAGGTAAGGACCCCAACTGCAGGACACTCACTTCTTTTGCATTAGATCTCCTCTCTGCTATAGCCCTACCACAGACAAGGAGGAACTGTGTGGCTGCAAAAGTCATATTTAGTACTAGACAATGTAGGGTTTTTATTGCTGTGAAAAGACCCCCATGACGGTGGCAACTCTTATAAAGAAAATGTTTAATTGGGGTGGCTCACTTACAGTTTCAAAGGTTCAGCCCCATTATCATCTTGGCGGGGAACATGGTGGCCTGCAGACAGACAAGGTGCTGGAATATCTGAGAGTCCTACATCTTGCAGGCGACAGGGAGTCAACTGAGACACTGGGTAGTATCCTGAGCATAGGAAGCTTCAAAGCCTGCCCCCACAGTGACACACTTCCTCCAACAAGGCCATACCCACTCCAACAGAGCCACACCTTCTAATATTTGCCACTCCTTATGAGATTAAGGGAGCCAATTACATTCAAACTATCAAAGCCAGGAAGAACATACGAGATGGTAAACACATTAAAATTCAGTAATCATGTTCTATATGATGGCCATTGTTCTTACTTTTCTGTAGATCAATCCCACCAATGATGACTTCTCTTGGAACGATTACTCATTCTATTAATAACTGGGCACACACATCCATGCAAAAATGTAAAAAAACAAAAAAAATATGTACATGGTTTAAAGAATGTCCAGGTCCAGAAGCAGAACTCAATGGCTTCCCTCCCAGAGTCTTGGGGTGCTCTTCCTGATCAAATCTCTCCTTGCCCTAAGAACAGCTGTGATAATCTTTGCTGCTCTTAATGGGTTTACACTTATGTATTTATCCTTAATACTGTAGTTTACAGAAAGTTCAAGAACTCACAAAACTACCCAGCACTAGGGAGGCAGAGGCAGATGGATCTCTGTGAGTTCAAGGACAGCAGGGTGTACATAGTGAGTTCCAGGACAGCCAGAGTTACAGTGAGACCACGTCTTAAAAAAGACAAAACAAAGCAAACAAGAGAATTCTCAAAACTAGAGGAACCACACCATAACCATTCTTTGACTTGCCTTTTTTTGTTTGGTTTTTTTTTTTAACCTGATGTTGTGATCTACCTGTTATTGTAGGGCGGTTTTCCTTTTTTATTGCTGCACCGTATTTCACAGCACAGTTATAATTTGTTCATTTGATTATTGACACAAGTCTGAGTTGGATGGTGGTTTTAGTTAGTTCAAATAATATTAAGAGCAACAGACTCTGAAATAGCCAAGTTGAAATAAGTACTGTCTTTGTGACTACTAGATGGCACACACTTCCTCAAAAGATCATTTTATTGGTTCACAAACATACACATTATCCTTGTTAAAAACTTGTTACTGTGGTGTGTGTGTGTGTGTGTGTGTGTGTGTGTGTGTGTGTGTGTGTGTGTGCGCGCGCGCGCGCGTGCGCGCGCGCCCGCTTGAGCACTGGAGTGTGTTTACATGCAGGTATGTGCACAAGGAGGCCAAAGGAAAATCTCTCCTCAGACACTATGGTCTTTATTTTTTCTTGGTTTTTTGTTTGTTGAAATAGGGCTTCTTATTAGCTTGTGACTTATAACTCAGGTTATGATGGCTGGCCAGCAAGCCTCAGGTTTCCATGTCTCCACCTCTTCAGTGCTGAAATTAAAGACAAATTCCTACCTCCATGCCATGCCTTGCTTTTTTTTTTTTTTTTCTAGATGAATTCTGGGTATTGAATTCAGGTCCATTACTATCAGACTCTTAAAGTGTTCGTTGGTCTGGCAGGTGCCTAACGGCACTGCATTGTAATTTTCAGTTCCCAGCTGTGGCTATCAATGAGGATTGTCAATGTTTACATATATTGGTCATTTGCATTTCTCATCAGGGTACTGCATCTGTTTAAGTCTTCTGCCCCCTTTTAAAAAAAGTTTTCCATTTCCTATGGTTTGTAGGTGTCATGAATGGATTCTAGATATTATGAATATGGAAACTTTTGCATTGTGACTTTTCTATCCATTTTATGATATTGTTTGGTTTTGGGTAGATGAATTTGTGGCTAAAATATGTATTTTCAAGGCTGCAGCAATGTGTCTTAACTGTTAAAAGCACTGGCTTCTCTTCCAGAGGATCAGGGTTCAGTATCCAACAAACACATGGGCAGCTTACAACTCTGTAATTCCAATCCCCAGGGGATCTGACACCTTCCTGTCTTCCAAAGACACTACATACATGTGGTACACAGACATACATGCAGGCAAAACACCCATACATGCAAAGTAATAAATTTAGATTTTTTTCTTTTCAATCCCCAAATCACATTTTCTCATACAGGTCCGCCACAGAATTTGAAATATTTTTTGAATATTGGAAAGGTATTGAAGAACATACAATACATAATGTATAACATCCTCAACAAAGATCAGATGGCACCCACAATCATGCACATTAATCCTTCTACAGCAAAGCTTCTTAGTTACATAAGTGATAAATATAAAGAGTCTCACACTATTTTAGCTCTCCTCTCTCCCTCCCCTCTAACCAATGAGTTACAGCCGAAAGAATATAGGCATAATCGAATTAGTAAAAGTGAAGAGGAACCTCCTGTAGGAACCATCTGGAACTTGTCTGTAGAAAGACTTTTTTTAGTATGAATTTGAATTGCCTACTAGCAACACTACTCATCTCTCTGGGAATTTGTACACTTTTCTAAACTTTATTTACACTCAACTGTTTATAAGACTTTTTAACTTTTTTCTCATCTACAGAGCTAAGACTTCATTATTGAAATTCCTAGTTACCAACATCTCTCATCAGTTGTTTGTTGAGTTTATTCTTTTTTCAAAAAACTCAACTTGACTTTCTTTTTTCGGTGTTCGACTCAGTTGTGTGCTAGTGAATTGTCTCCAGACCTGACAAAAAGCAAAATTCTGGTTTGCTGTTTCCCGCAGTGTGAGTGTTGCATCATGATCGGTTTCAAGCTACAGTGTTTTTTTTTTTTTTTTTTTTTGATCATGGAGTTGGGAAGGGGTGCACAAGGCAAGCTGTGGACAACACTGCTTTTGTTGTGTTGTGTTATTTGTTTATTTATTTATTTATTTTGGTTTTTCGAGACAGGGTTTCTCTGTGTAGCTTTGGAGGCTGTCCTGGCACTCACTCTGGAGACCAGGCTGGCCTCGAACTCACAGAGATCCGCCTGCCTCTGCCTCCCGAGTGCTGGGATTAAAGGCGTGCAACACCAACGCCCGGCTGTTTCCCATTTTATTAATGACTGCTCTTGATGCACTTTTGTGGGACACATTCATATTTGCAGCCATATAGATAAAACAAGTAAATCTTTAAAATATATTCCCATTTAAAATGAACTCACCTAAGGCTCTCTCATATTTTTTTTGTAGCCATCATATTTACATAATGCTGCATCTCTTTAGAAGCTGACATTGATCAGGTAAATTCATCCCTATTATATAGTCCTTAGACCACTGGGGTACGTGTCTCATTTTTTTTTTTGGCGGTGCTTAGAATCACGCTGTCTGCCTGAAAACCTGTACATGCTGAACGTGGTTAGGGCCTTACGGAGGCCTTACCAAGTGCAGAGCTGTCAGCTGGAGCTGTTGCGGGGTGCAGCTGACTCTCCTGGTTGTTAAGTCCGCGTTACACATGAACGCACGTGGCTCTTCTAGGACCAAGAGCAGACAGAACTAGAGCCCAGCTGGCAGACCCGCCTTCGTCCGTGACTCTAGTCGTTTTCCTGAACACTCTGCTTAAAGACACGAGCTCATCTATCAAACACTCCTCTCAAAACACCCGAAGCACGTCTTTTCATCCCTTAGGAAGGTACAAGGTGGCTCCCTCCAAGCGTGGTCAACCTCAGCTTCATCTTTCCCCGGGAGTCTCAGGCTAGCAGCCGCCTCCTTCCGCCCTACGCAGAGAAGGGGGCGTGGTGCCAGCTCGGTCACCTCCGCCTACTCTCCGTCCCTTCTCAGCCCGCCTAGGCCGCCACAGCTCACCGAACACCCGCGGAAGCAAACTTCAGGGCTGGAGGCCGGTGACAATCAGCCATTACCATCCGCCCACAGGACGCGCCCACTCCGGGCGGAAATTACCCACCGGGACGCAACCGGAAGTTCCGCCCTTCCGTGTTGCGAACGGCCTGCTGGACGGGTCAACCTGCGGCCGCTTCTCTCTCGGTAAGAGTTGACTTGCGTTGTTGTCCGTGCACTCGCCGGGCGACTTGGCAGCACAGGGAACTGGGCTCCGCACCGCGCTCTCCCACGTGAGCTGATCCTCGGGAGGCCGCGAGGGACCGGAAGGTCGGACCCTCAGCGCCTCAGCCTCGGGTTGTGGACTAGTCGTGTGATCGCATGTCACGTCGTTCCCCGCGTGATCCCTGCAGGAATGGCTGCCCCGTCCATGAAGGAAAGGCAGGTGTGCTGGGGCGCGCGAGACCTGTACTGGCGGTGTCTCGACGACAACGCGGAGGACGCGGCTCGGTGCCGGCAGCTGAGGAGCTCGTTCGAGGCCAGCTGCCCCCAGCAGTGGGTAAGTCCCGGGGGCTGCAACACGTCCCTGCCCTCACCCCTCACCTCGGGGTAGGTTTTGAGGGACAAGGTTAAGGAAGAGGTCACTCGTTAAAAAATCACCAGTTAGTTGGTATTACTGGAGAAAATGACAGTGCTCTGCCATATTCTGGAGAAGGGAGAGTGTTGTGATGAGTTCTGCAGGGCTCCATAGCCTTTCTCTCACTGTCCCCTCGTTCAAGCTTTGTCATAATTCGGCAGCAGGGCTCCTTCAATTATCAGTTCTTTACTTTGTCCCAGTCTCTGCCAACTCCTAAAAAGTGCAGACTGAGAGGTGTGTCCGGAGACACGTGGGTGGGGTGGGGAGAGGGGTGGAGCATCTTGGCAATGTGTTCCGAGGGGACGCTTGCTTTTATTTGCTGGGATTTTCATCAGTCTTGCACTCAGTTTTATGCAGAGGAAGCCATACATCAGAGAGGCGAAACAGTTGTCTAAGATGAGCCAGCCACTGTAGTGGAGAGGGGATTTGAACTTGGCTCCTTAAGTCCTGTATAGCAGTCCTTTGAGAAAGGTGAAAGCTTGTGCTGTACTCTGGGTGACTGGTGTATTTACAAAGCAGCTTCAGGAGGAGAAACACTCCCAAGAGGTGCTGAGTTCTGGACAGGTTGTTTTCAAACACCAAAATACCGCTTTCACTTCAAGGGGTAAGAGATAGTCAAATATGAGTGGCTGGCTCGGGAAACACAGATTTAAGTTTTCCCAAATACCATGTGGTGGAAGTTTCATGAAGTTATATAGGGACAGAACAAAGGAAGTCCTAAGTCAACAGTTTTCAAAGACATGGATGGAAATATCAGGTAAACTTGTTACAGCAAAGCAGGAAATTCTCTGCTGTGAGCCTCAGATGCTGTCCGAAGACATTCTTGGCCTTCTGGTTTGTGGAAGCAACTGGGGCAGTGTCACGGCTAACACATGTGCGTTCTCCTTGGATTTGATTTATGCTTCCAGAATGTATCAAGATAAGACAAATGCCTCATGAAGAGGATGATATGAAAGAAAATAAAGCCAAGTCTTTAATAATTTTGTGAATATTTAGCCATGTGTGTTTCTAGATAAGACATCCCCAGATGTGTTTCTAGATAAGACAGATTTCTAGATAAGACAGATTTGACAGAAATACCAGGGTTGATAAATGATACGATACACTGAACCGATAACCAGCCATTGTCTGTAATACTTAAGATTCCTGAACTGACCAAGAGCTGCCGAGTGGGCTCCTGTGTGCATAGACTGTTTAAATTCCCAGGACATTACACGCTAATAGGTATGAGGGGATAGAGACTCCGGTTCAGAACACGAATCACAATTCTGCTTCGATGCCGTTGATACCGAGTAACGTGTTACATTTAAATCCGTGATTTTGCTTGCCAGCCTGCATGACTTGCTCTAATGTCAGGCCTTTTTTTTATCTCAATAGATAAAATATTTTGACAAAAGAAGAGATTACTTAAAATTCAAGGAAAAATTTGAAGCAGGAGAATTCCAGCCTTCACAGTCCACTGAAAATTCCTAAGCTCTTCCTGGACTTTCACACAAGACTATTCTTCTGGACTGTCAGAAATGCTTTGCTGGTTCCAGGACAAAAGCAGTTTGACCCACAGTTACACATCAGTACTTGTTCTCTCTCTGAACAGCAATGACTAAAAGGGTCAAGCAGCAGAAGACCTCGTCATTCAAACTGTGAAGGACTGGATGGTATTACGTGTGCTGCTTTAATTTAGTGAGGGATCTATCTTAAGAAAAAAAATAAAGCTTATAATAAAAACACATGGTTTATCTTCCTCTCCCCCCCCCACCTTTCGAATAAAAGCCAAATAGTAGTAAATCTAGTTGCAACTGATATAAATAAAAACTAAGGTTGTTACATGTGTTTCTGGCTATTAGATTAGCATTTTAATACGGAAACTACACAATGAAGTTGGAAGACACCTTAATTAATCAAAGGGATATAATAAAAAGTCATTTGAATGCCCTCGATGTTCATACAGTGCCTGGGTTGTTACCTAGTTCAGTAAGACAAAAAAGAAATATCTAGATTGGAAAGGGAAGACTGGGCCTTTTCCAAGATGGTTAAGAAAATGCCTAAGATTGGACCCCCAAAACTGAACTGTAACTCACAAACTTGGAGACAATATTTCAAATGACATATCCAGGATCAAGAAAAAAAACAAGAAAACCTCATGGTTCTTAAGAAAAATGATCCTGTTTAAGAAGTGAATAAATTGGGGCTGGAGAGATAGCTCAGGGGTTAAGAACACTGGGTGCTCTTCCAGAGGCCTGGAGTTCAATTCCCAGTTCCCAACCATCTACATGCCAGAACACTGTGTACATAATAAATTAAAAACTAAAAAATATTTTTTTAAAAAAAGTGATCAAGTTATTCAAATAGTTTAATAGATAGTGTAAGCATTACAGCTTGGATGGAAAGGGATCCTAGCAGTCAGGAGCCAAGGAACACCAGAACATCACCATAAGCGTAGCAGAATACAGCCTGGGTACAGCCCTGCTCCAGGGAAAGGTTTCCCCAATAGCTGCTCCCTTAGGGGAAGGTTTCCCCAGCAGAAACAGTTCTGCTCCGCTCTGGGGAAGTATCTCACCCAAACCTCTTTCAAGAGATTTATTGGGAGGGAAGAATCCAGGAGGGTGGCTGCCTCTCAGTGAAAAAAGGCAGCTCCCATCTGAACAGGCACAGGGCTTATAAAGATAAGATTCTTAGGGATGGAGTTTTTTCAGGGTGGGAATTGGTCGGATTTCAATCCCTGAGTTTAGACAAGCTCGGAGATTGGCTGGATTTTATATTCAGGGATTGGTTGGTTTTTGTGATGAGTTGGTCAGGGCCAAAAGTGTGTTTCTTTCACTGGTCCTTTTAAACCTTTGGTTCTGGTCTCAGGGTCAAGGTATGCTTCTTTGCCTCTGGTTTCAAAGTCAGGGTATGTTTCTTTCCCTGGCCCTTTTACCCTACAGATATTTGTCAAAATTAAATGGAAGACACATATCTGAAAAGAGCCTCCATATCTTTAGATATTAGAATAATGGAAATGAGTGCTATACTGTTACGTCACTAGATACCTGCTGGAATGGCTTAAATTAAAAGGCTAGCAATACCAAATGTTGACCAGGATGCAGAATAAGTCACTCAGTGACACTGCAAACTAGGAAAGCCCTCTGCAGAGGTTTTCAGAGTAAAGCACACTGACCCTATGACCCAGAAGTCCCACTCCCAGGTGCTTCACCAAATGAACTGGAAGCAAAATGTGAAGCGTCTCTCAGTCCCTAAAACCAAATGCCCATGTCAGGAATAGATGAAATGCTACATGTCTATAATGGATGAATACCAACAGCAATTAACAAACACCTGGATGAGCAGAGAATGCATTCTGCTCCCTGAAAGAAGCCAGACTGTGATCATGTCAGTTATCTCAGATAACAGGAGTGGCATCTGGATGAAGTGGGTGTGTGAAGATGTGGTGTTCTATGCTTGAAACACTGTTGCAAATCAAAACCTCAAAAGACCTACAAAAGAAAATGAGTAGGCAAAGGACTCTGAAATTTGAGTGTTACTCAATGGGTTCTGGAGATGACAAGTTCCATGCTGAACGGTAATAATGATTACCATTAAATAATTCAGTCATCTAAACATAAAGTGTCATGGGTTTCATCCTTGGTTTCGGTAAGGATTTATAGGACTGGTCCAACAGCATTGGGTTGAGATTGCAGTCCTCAGAGACAGATTACTAACCGCCACCGCAAGCACAATTGTATAGGACAAATTCCATTTAAGCTTAATGTGAACATGATGGCTGAATTTGCAGCTTTGGAAATAAAGCCTAAGACCTGAGTATAAAGACCTTTATTGGGAGAGCTGATTCACATCTTGCCATGTTTTAAAACGGAAAGGCATAGGTGCTCATACGTAACAACTTTAATTCTTCCACACTGTTAGCATAGCCACCCTGACAATACTGGTTTCTAGGAAGAACATTTAAAAAAATTCATGTTTAAAAATTTCATAGTTGCTTAAAATATTTAAAAAGGTTAATTTGATTTAGCTAAAAGGGGACAATATATAGTGATATACTTTAAGGCACTTGAAAAAGTTTTGGCATTGAGGTGTAAGGTTAGATATGCAGATAATCCCAGGACATCTCAGAATATTTCATTAGTCCGGTAGGTTATAAGACACCACCATTAGCACCACAAGAGATGGCAGGTGAGGCTCGGCCTTCAGGATGCCAGCCCCGCACACCCGAGCAGCTGCTGTCTGGTATACTCCCAGATCAGCAGGGCCCCGCTCACGTGCACATTCAGTGAGCGGATGATGCCCTGCTGAGGAATCTCCACACACACATCCAGCTGCTGGATCAGGTTGGCTGGGATTCCTTCCCGCTCATTTCTGCAGACAAAAAAATGGAGCGAGACATGTTAGCTTTTCTTTAATGCCTTTTACTATTATTTTTTAGAAGTCCTGAATGTTACTGTAGGAGACAAATAAACAGAGTAAGTCAACCTGGGTTCCAGGAAGTAAAGATGTTACAAAGATAGGCCAATCATGTGTTTACTAATAAAACATTCCAGACAGGTGAGATGAAGGAAAAACCAAGGGGTTCCCATGAATGCTATAAATTTACAGTAAGTTTCATGACAGGAACCTAGGTAAGATTTAAACAGCCTAGAAAACAGACAGGACCAGGAAATTGACTCACCCCAATAGAAGCAGTGACTTCTCAGGGAAGCGGTACTGGGCTAGGTCTGAGCTTTGAGCTGTCTGCTCCACACCGATGACAGTGTAGCCTTCCGCCTTTTTCTGCTGCAGATAATCTGTTAGCTGGGCTGGTCTCACCTTGGTGGCAATTTTAGAAGAGCAGAATATGAAATCATTCCATTGTGAAGTGTGAAAGTGGACACAGCATTAAACTTAAACCCAACTTGTCAAAAGGACTTTAAAGGGAAAACAGGACACCAAATGACATCAGAAAGAATACCCTCCACATCACAGACTGCTGAGTGGTGGTTGAATAGGGAGAGGTAACATGTTCAACAGAGGGGACTGCTACAGCTACTGCAGGTCACAGATAAGACCCCATGGAGCTCAGCACTGAAGGGTCAGATTGAGAAGCGGGCACAAACACAGCATGCCAGGACTTTACACCCAACTCTACCAGAGGAAGACTTTACACCCACCTCTACCAGAGGAAGCCACTGCTCTGCGGAGACACTGAGGTGCTGGAACTGTCTGTCACTGACACACTGAAGACTGCCGACGACAAGTACTGCAGCTCCGAACACCTCACAGGTCCGGCACAGCCCTGCACAGAACAGCCCGTGAGACTATCTTCAACAGGTCACAGAGCACATGGCATTCCAGTCTTCCCTCTGAGCTTCCCAAGAAGGCTGTGGAACAGACAGCCACATAGGGTTGATAAAAGGTTTTAAGTGAACTACCTGGAGGATGATTTTACCTCCTAAGTTGGTTGGCTTGTCGATGAGTGAGGCCACGACAATCAGTCTACTAATGGACTTTCCAAGCTTGGCGGCCCGGTCCTGAAACATAAGCTCCAGGTCTGACTCCAGAGCCTTGTGTCCCCATGGGATAATCTTTTTCTGGACATCAGCCCACTCTGACTGGCTCTCTGCTTCACCCAAGGTATAACCTGAGAAGAAATAACAGTTCCTGTATGTAAATTAGACTGGGTCAATTCTCTATGTATTTGCATTTTTAGATGACTTTTTAAATTTTCTTTTCATTATTGTTAATGTGTGCATACGGTCTGAGTGTACCATGAAGACCAGAAGAGGGCCCTGAAAATCCTGGAGCTAGAGTTACAGGTGGTTGTGAGCCACCTCATGTGGGCGCTAAGAATGGAATCACCTGTCTGTGTTTAACATCAAGTCCTCACAAAGGTCTCTCAGCCCTTGGTGCTCTCTACTAGGCTAGATTTCCTGGGTGTCTGCTGCCTGCCACTGTCTGATATATCTGTGTACCACTGTCTGCTGTTAAGAACACAGCTGTGGGAGGGCAGGGACCCTGTCGTTGTCTAGCACACTGGGTGCCATCAATGGATCCTCATTGAATAGATGAGTAGATTCAAGATGATCTGTCCAAAGATGCACACTGAACCATCTCCACTTTTCCTGGAACTCTACCTAGACACTGAATTCAAATCACAGGGTATAGCCAAGTGTGGTGGTACATCCTTTAATCCCAGCATTCAGGAGGCAGAGACAGGTGGATCTCTGTGAGTTTGAGGCTAGCCTGGTCTACAAAGTGAGTTCCAGGACATCCAAAGCTGTTAAACAAAACAAACAAACAAACACACACACACAAACAAAACAAAAAAACCACAGGGTGAGGCTAGAGTCTGCAGTTTAAAAAATTACATTCATTGGGAGGTGTAGGAGCATGCAGGTCATGGTGTCATCTGGAAGTCAAAGATCTTTAACACATGGGAATTAGCTGTTTCCTACCACGTGGATCAACTCAGCTATTCAGGCTTGGCAGCAAGTACCTGTATCCAATGAGCCACCAGAGAGTTGGGAAGAAAATTGAAGGACAGCAGGAGACCAGCAGAGCAAACTTACAGAAGGGGCAGGTGTGGTGAGGGGGACTATGGCTTTGGGAAAGCACTCACAGTGGTAGGTACAGTAAGGGATAGCTGGGTGGGATGGGGGGCGCAAGCTGAGAGAGGAGCCATTAGAATGAGGCCACCATACTGCTGCTAAGGTGAGCTTTCTGGACACACTGAGCCACAGGCTCATCAGGGAAGCCTGATTGGCACTTCTGTTCTTGCCTTCTCTAAGCAGAGGCTGAAACCCTGGTCAATGAAACATCATCAAGACCCATTCTAGAACTGTTAAGAGCCCTTACCAATGAACCAGGGTAAAATGAAGCTCCCTTACCTCGGTCTTGCTGGGACCAGTCTCCTGGACTCAGCTCACCAAGTGCAGTCCCAGACAGGTACCAATGGGACCCTGTATTGGAAGGGATGTCTGTGAAGCTGGCAAATTTATCCAATGTGATCCACTCCTCTTCAGTAATACCCGAGAGCCGTGGAAGGGTGTAAAATATGGTCTGAAAATAGAATCATAAAAATCTAAATAGTGTTTTCCCTAGAAAATAAAGGAAAAACCAAAAACAGGTTTTATTACTGCTGGTGCTTCTCCTAAGTCACCCTCTACGGTAGGCTCTCAGAGCCTGCAACACCTCTCTAAGTATGCTTCACTTTGCACTGGGACATTCAGAGATTCATTTAGGGACCCCAGAGAGCAGGCAGGACCTCTCCAGCTCTTCTAACTCCACGTGACCACTGTGCTCTTATAAAGAACACAGCATGATTCAGGGGGCATTGTCACTCAAGAGAACATATGATGCCTAAAGGCAGTTTCCTGGCCACCAGACACTTTGCCATCCCATGCTCAGTTCCACTAAGGACATCCAAAACCCAAATCCTGGCTCAACAGTATAACTCCCTATGTACCCTGGAATGAGCCATGAAGGCTTTCTCAGCTTCAGTTCCAGCGTGTGTAAGAAGGTGGATAACTGGTGCCTATGAAGCACAAGGCCACCTTTCTGTTCTTCCCTTGAAGAACACCCAATGGTGGAAAAGCATGTGAGAGAGAAAACCCAGGTAACAGGCAATTTAAAAGTGAAACGACACGCAATACACATGCCTTTGTGGGCAGTTTTAAGGCAAATAGGACTTGCTTCAGACTAGCCATATTTGTGCAAATTTAAACTGATGTCAAGATGGAGAGTAACGTTTATGAGGTGGTTCCCTAAGCCAAGCTGCAAACACAAAGGCTCCATGACAGTCTGGTAGAGCGTGAGCTCTCTGTCCCACAGCCCACACACAGACCGACCACTCTGCCTGCTATTGCTGATGACGAGTCAGGTAACAGCTGAAAGAGATGGGCAGGGGTGAGGGAGAAAAGGTGGATGGATGGGGTTGTAGAGAGCCGTGAGGAAAGCAGCATCGACACAGGGCGCTGGGAACCGAGGAACACAGACAGCGTGGAATGATAGTCAAAAAACTCTAGTTATGTTTTGTCTCAAAAGAATGACATTCATGTTGTGTGTAGCACATCTCACAATACAGAGTATGTCTTCAAGGACAGCTTTAAGCAAACCATGAAACAACTGGTTGTAGAGTAGCTAAGCTCCTAATACAGATTTCCCCAGAGGGAAAGTCACCTAGGCCAGATGTTTTCACTTCAAAGCTAGGTAGACAGCACAGTATTGTTGCTGGAGTTGAAAAGGGTTTAAGAATGCCTTATATCTGGGATTATCATGTAAATCAATCTTGTTTCTAATTCAAATAAAAAAATGATAAAAAACAAAAAAAATCTGAAAAAAAGAAAAAAAAGAGTGCCTTATACTCTATGCAAATTTTAAGAATTTACACACCAAAGTCATTTATATTAACTGTAGCAAGTATGTTTACAGTTCTTAAAATTACACAAGCATTCTGTTACTATCAGCAACGTGGAGTACCATTTGCCACAAATTTTCATTACTCCGAATCTAGAAAGATTAATTGCCATTAACAAGAGATCTTTTTGTTCTTGCATTGGTCACGGGCTTCAGGACAAGAAAGTCTCACCTGCACAAACGTTCTCTCACTCACTTCCTTTTAGAAATCTGTTCTGATTTCTGTTTAGAGTTAAATATTCCCTTCCAAGGTTTACAAGCCAGACACTGCCAGAGAAATAGAAAGTGAGAATGACTAGCCAGTTGTCATTGCTGAGGAGTGGGCAAGCATATCACAGAACTTTACAGGGTCACAGGGACAGAAGATAAGCCTCATCACAATCCCTCAACAGCTGGGGCAGGAAGACAGCGGGGAGCCTGCACACTGCACTCTCGGCTTACCTCCAGACAGTAGTCCTTCAGGGGGTGGAACGTGGAGAAGAAGAAATGGTCCTGGATGCGCTGCCAGTTCTTCCTGGCATTCCTAAGGGGGAGGATAGGAAGTGAGGCAGGACTCAGAGGTGAACAGTTCTGGGGAGGGGAAGTCAGTATAGTATCTAAGAATTCCATCCTAAGTTCATACTCCCAGTCTTCAACATCGATGTGTATGTTCTAGTTCTGTCTCTGTCTCTGAGGTTGTGGTTTGAGTGAGAAATGTCCCCCATAGGCTCATGTATTTGAACACTTAGTCCCCAGTTGGTGGTGCTGGGGGGGGGGGGGGGGGTTAGGAGGTGTGGCCTGGCTGGAGGAATTATGCCACTGGGGGCAGGCCTCTTCCAGTCTGTCTGCTTGCTGATGTGATCGCTCAGATTCCTGCTCATGCCTGCTGCTTGCTGTCATGCCTCCTCAGCATGATGAACACTTATCCCTCTGCAACCATAAGCCAAGACAAGCTCTTCCTTCTATAATTTGCTTTTGGTCATGGTATTTATCAGAGCAACAAAAAAGTCACTAACATGGGGTTACTGGGGATTAAACCCTGGGGCTTTATGTATGCTAGGTGAAAACACTACCTCTGAGCCCTGTCCCCAGCACTCAGTGTGCTTTTGTTTGTTTGCTTTCAAGACATGGTTTATCTATGTAGCTCTGGCTATCCTGGAACTCGAAATACAGACCAGGCTGGCCTGAAACTCACAGAGATCCACCTACCTCTGCCTGACAAGTGCTGGGATTAAAGGAGTACACCATCACCCAGTGTGCTTTTTAAACTGCAACTTAGAAAGGTTCTCAATTTTGCATTTGTTTTTGAGGCAGCGTCTCAGGTTTATGAGGGTAGTCTTGAACTCATTATGTATCTGGGGATGATCCTGAACTCTTGATTCTACATCTCTACATATGTGCTGGACTTATAGATATGAGCAGCCACACCTAACTTTTTTCTTCTTCTTTTAAGCTAGGCATTGTCGTCTTTACCTGCAATTCCAACACTCAGCAGACAGGCAGGAGGATTACCAGGAGAATAAAGCCAGACTGAGCTACAGACCAAGACTTTATCAAAAGCAAATAACAAAGCAACAAAGTTTTGCCTTGTTGTTTTTGCAGAATTGGGGCTTGATCCCAAGGCCTCAAGCCCTCCAGAATGTATACTTACTACTCAGCTAGCCCACAGGATTTTATATTTTGAAATGGAACTCAAAGATAAACAGAGAAACTAAGCAATGCTTTCAAAATCATACAAAACCAACTAAAGGAATAAAAAACCCACATCTCTGAATGTCAAAGAGACACTGTCCAGGAGACCATGAAGAGTGTGGAGAACACAGTCCCACTGCATAGCCCAGGCTGGCTTCAATCTCAATCACATGGTACAAACCAAAGTCACCCATCACCTGCCAGCACTTGGAGCCTCTGGGGTTAGGATCCCTGTGTCTCTGCCTGGCAGTGGACCTTACATAAGCCATGGTTTTCACTCTGAAGGCACATGACACTGCTAAACCAAAAGCACCAACTATGAGCAAGTGGGAATTCTTAACCCAGCCACCAGGTTTGAAAGGCAAAAGTCGTGTGACAGGACACGCAGTTTAGAATTGGGGGCATCAGCTCCAAACTGTGCAGGACTTCCAGGCTATGAGATTTCCTATACTTTTTAAAGAGTTTTCTGCATAAGCTCCTGGTACTTCACCTTCCTCACTGCTTGTGTTTTTGAAAAATAAATGACATGAAGTACTGTAAACATTCCAAATATCTAAACACAGAAAATAATGGATTCCAAAAACCTACTGCATCGACGTAACAAGTACTTGCCACTTGCATGCCAAACATGTTGCAATATAGGATCCATGCCTGCCAACCCTGCCAGTGCAATTTCCCAGCTATGTCACTACACTGAGCCTGCTTCTCCCATACTCAGGCCTCACATGGGTCCATTTATCCCCTCACCAGCCTCAGATCTGAGTACCAGCTTCCCTCCCACTATTCCGGCTGCCTTGGGCCTGATTCTCACACAAAGGCAAAGCCCGTAAGTATAGGTCACTTTCATCCCAACTCCAACTCTTCTCAGTTCTCTGGGTATCTAGATACTTTGTCCCACGTCTCTCAGACTGGCTTCCTCCAGGATCCCTCCTGCCTCCAGTCTCCAGTTCCCACAGCTGCTTCTCTTGCCCAGAAGTCTCTTCTCTTCACTCACCAATACCTGTTCTTCCTTTGGAAGTCACAGATCATGTAGGGTAAAGAGCTTCCCTAAGCCACAGGTAGAGGGTCTGCATTTGCCATTGTGCCCTCGATATTCCCATCGCCTACTGAAAAACCTGTGCACCGATGACTGCTTCAGAGTCCTCTCTATTCTGTCCACCTGGCTTGCCGAGGTGTGTGCCTGCCACAGAGGGGTCAAAGAAGGACATGCCCTTAAAGAGCAGAGAAAACGCAAAGCTCAGGGATGCCGGTGTTCACTGGCTATGTCTCCATTTGGGACCAGGAGTTAAAAAAATAAGTGACACCATAAAAGGATGTTTTCTTGCTTAATAATAGCAATAAAATATATGGGATCTAAGCTAACTGCTTTTAGGGACCAGGGATTTTAGGATCAACGGGCAGGGAAAACAGCTCTGTGCTGAACAGTCATGATCTCACCACAGAAAGCAGTGCCTGGCTGGCAGTAGGTGGTAGAGGGGTGAGAAGCAGCTCTGGGGTCATCCAGGTGCCTCCAGGCTGCCTGCTATGCTAGAAGCAGAGCTGAGAGTTCACAAGGCTCAAAGGATGAGGAGAAAGTATAAAACCCCAGTCTGGACTCATCATCAATCTATAGCTTAGCACTATCTGCTTTATGGGGCTGACCAAGCCCTCTGTGCCCAGCACTGTGGGGCACTGATACAAAAGAAGGCAATGAGGCTGCTCCCTTGCTCCTCCAGGCTCCTCCTTCTCTCTGTCTGGGAAGAACAGAGCCATGAGGTGTCCTCACCCTGCTCCATGCATGCTTTCTGCCTGGCTGAGACTGCACTCGATGACTGTGGTCCAGGCGTCACACTCTTCAAACTTCAGTGCTTTACATAGCTGCCAGGCCTTCTTGAGTGCTACCAGAGCGTAGAGTCGAACGCTGAAGTTGTGGCTCAGACACCACTGCAGAGCGATGGTGAGGGCCTGCTTCAGAACCAGCCTCTGGAAAGACAGTGTGGACATGGCAGCATGAGTAAGACTGTGAGGCCTGGAAGACCGATGGGGCAGCTGTGATCAGCTCTGGCAAGCCTTTCACTGGCCTGGACGTGGGGCTGCATCTCCCTCCCAGGCAAATGAGCTCAGCAGCACTCAAAACTGTCGCAAGGAAAATGGTTTCCAGGTCCTCATTTTTGTAATGGCTGCAGTATGTCCCCTTGTCCTGCAACCCAAGTTGACATGGATCTTCATGCTAGACTGACACAGCCATTATGTTCTATCTAGAAAGGTGACTGCACCTTATTACATGCCCTAGGCTGAAAAGTAAGACAGTATCCTATAGGAGCCTTACTTTTGGAGAACCTGGGGTATCCACCTTCCTCCTGAGTGCTGAGCTACTGAACTCCTAGCAGCAACCTTGAGCCACCCAGAAGCAAAATTAAGAAGTGGGGAGAAGAAAGCCAGGTGCGGGGTACTTAAGAGGGAACAGTAGGGTGATCAGGAGTTCGGGGTAAACCTGGGTTATGTGAGTCCTGTTTTAAACAACTGAGCAAGTCAGAAGACTGCAGGGTCTTTTCCTCAGTCCTCAAGCCATCTGATGGTGACCTACACAGGGCTCACCTGGTTCTGCATGAGGGGATGAACTGGCTGTGAGCCCCACAATCAGCTTCCACTGGCTGGACAGCAACCATGTCAGAACGGGCTGCCAGATATATCACAATGGTTACCTACTCAATACAACTATCCATAGGCAGGACAAACCAGATATAGGCAAGCCTTTTTGTCTCATTCCTTCATTCAGGATGCCATAACCAATTATCCAGGGCCACTGTCTTCTCAAGACAGCATTGCTGAGAGAAATTACACACAGGCACTCATGGATGCATATACAGGCACCAGATGGTTCAGAAAGCCTAATGACCTAAGTTCAATGCCTGGAATCCAGGTGGGAAGATAGAATTGACTCTACAAAATTGTCTGACCTCACCTTCACTATGGCACACACACAGACAAACATACACACACACACACACAGAAGAATACAATAACTATGGCACACACACACACACACAAAGTAGAAAAAAATAAAAAGAAATTGAGGCTAGAGAGATGCTTCAGAGCTTAAGAGCACTTGCTGTTCTTGCAAAGGACCTGGGTTTGATTCCCAGCACCTACATGGCTGCTCACAACTATATGTAACTTCTGTTCTAGGGGATCCAATACCATCTTCTGACGTTTGTGGGCACCAAGCATGAGCATGGTGTACAGTCATAAAATAAATTGAATAAATCTAATTTTAAAAGAATAGCTTAGAAAACAATCACAGACTACACATGTGTGCTCACTCCCCCCCCCCCATACACACACACACACACAGATGGCACATACAGCCATTCCTCTGTGAGAAACAACTATACAAACTGCCATCTGGTGCGCAAGTAACGTCAGGGCCAATACGGGAAGGCCACAGGGAGAAGTGAAACTCTAAAATGAGGAAACAGAGGGACTGGGCAGATGGGCTCCATGTGACCACTCCTAAGCCTGTTTACACCAGCATTCGTTAAAGTATCTCCATTAAGAAAGGGCTTATGAGCACCTATCCCAGCTGAGGGGCTGTTGATAGTGATGGCTTGTGAAGGAGGAAGAGTCTACTTTCTTTAAGGGTATGGTCCCTAGTTCATCAACCACACTCTGGGGGATGGCACCACACCCAGGAAAATATGGCCAGCACAAATTGACAAGTTAGACAGACAGACAGACAGACAGACAGACAGACAGACAGACAGGACATTAAGTTGGGAGGGGTGGGATGATGGGGGTAGGTCTGGGAGCACTGGGGGATGAGTATGATCAAAATACATTGTATGCATCTGTGAAATTCTCAAAGAACTGATAAAAACATACAAACAAACACCAAACCCAAATGGCCAGGAATGCAAAAAGGCAAACCCTGTTTAACTTGTATAAAAATAAAAGCTATTTACACCAACAGGAATCACCTGTGGACCTGGTGCATACTAAGTGTGAGTGAGAATAGTTTCCCCATGCACACAGCAGCAGCAGGGGAAGGGAAGGAGAACTGAAAACCCCCACAAGGACACTGATAGTAGGGAAGAGGGTAGATCAGGGGTGGGCTAGGGAAGGGGTGGATATGATCAAACTGCATTGTATGAAATTCTTAAGGAACTAATAAAAAATGAGGAAGAAACACATTTTAAAGATAACTAATCAGGAAAAAAGAAAAGTCCTCCAAACTGGCATAAATACATTCCTTTTTAGAACGCCAAGTTCATAAATTCTTCTTGCAAATAATTCAAACTCACCTTTTCTGGAATATTCTGAATGATGATGTCCAAATGTGATAAAACAGATAAAAATGTACAAATGCTTGTTTTAAGTTTTTCTTCACCCTGATAGAAGATGAGGTAGAGAAATTGTCATTTTGGGCTTAACTGTGAGTAAAGGCTGCTGGACCCCCTGGCAAATAGAGGTGCAATGAAGACTCTGCCCTCTTCCCTGAAGAAGCTTGGGTTTGCCTAGTATAGGGGACAGGACTGAAAACCATAGAGGAGGGGCACTCCCTGTAGCCCAGTGCAATGCAGGCAGCCGGAGACACAGTCAAACAGCACTGGATGGCCTCACATACACCAACTCCCTGGGTCAGGCCTATAGGACAGGAAGAACCTGCCTGTGGCAGGAGTGGGCACTGGGGTCAGTACACAGAGGGAACTGGAAAAAGTGCAGGATAAAGACACAGGGCAGAGGCAGTGAGAGTTTCACTGGCCCTTTGGACAGTACCCTATTACATCCAAAGTTGTAGACACAATCTCCACACAATCAAACCATTCCCTAGTTCTTTACTTACGTAAGAAAAACAGTCCCAGAACTTTGGAAGAAACTGGGGGAATTTATGAAGAATCAATATAATAATCCACTCAATAAAATATTTTATGGATGCTTGATTGTTGGTGAAGCCAGCATGGAAAATCTTATCAATAATCCCATTCAAGAAGTTCTGAGGAAGAAAGCATAAAATAAATTGTTAACATGCTATTCCTTTTCAATTTTAAAACACTCTCCAACTGAGGTTGAAGAGATGGCTCAGTGGTTAAGAGTGGTTAAGCACTGGCTGCTCTTGCTGAAGACCTGCTGGGTTCACTTCCCAGAACTGACGACAGCTCACAACCATCTGTCACTCCATTTCTAGGGGATCCAACACCCTCTTGGCCTGTGTGGGTACTGCACACACACAGTACACAGACATACATACAGGCAAACACATACACATAAAATAAAATAGAAAGACGGCTTTGTGCTGGAGCATTTCTATTGAGCACTTCACCATTTACTTAAGCATAAATCCTATGATAATCAGCTAGGTAAAAGGAAAGATACAGAAGTCTAATAATTTCCATATATGTGTGTGTGTTTATATATAAATATATACACTTACTTCATTTCTGTGTGTGTAAATGTGCTCATGCATGCAAGGACTTCTAAGGGCAAGTGCATGTGGATGTGTGCACATACATGTGCGGGCAGGCCAGAGGTCTTCAATGTTAGGTGTTTTCCTCAATCACTTCCCACCTCATTTTTGAGGCAGGGTCTCTCACTGACCCCAGGCTTCTCCACTTTGATTAAACTGACTGACTGGCAAGCCATAGGGCTCCTCCCATCTCCACCTCCTAAGTAATGGGATGACAGAGTGTGCCACCACGCCTAAATCTATCTTTATGTGGGTATTGAGGACTGACCTCAAGTCCTCCCACTGAGCCATCCCGTGTCCATCCCACCATCCACGGTTGTGGTTGTGCCCTGCCCCCATACACATTCCGTTATGTGCTTAAGTGACAACACTCATATGCAGCCTTATTTCACACTTGGACCCTGTAGCACAGAAACAACATCTAGGAGGGAAACAAAGCTGCTTTTCCTGACAGTGTCCATCCACCTTACCCTCCAGTCTCTCAGCTCCATGGCCACACCCCTCCCATCCCCAGCTATTCACTGGCCTAGACCTTTAGCCCCTCCCTCCCTCCCTCCCTCCTCTTCATAATCCTACTTCTGCCTGAGTGATGATCATGTGTGAGGATCAAGTGGAAAGACTATTTATATAAACATATTTAAAAATAATGCCTGGCATATTTTTTATTTTTAAGAGGAAAACCATTCTTAAATAATGACTTTAGGTAGAAAATAGCAAAGATAACTCATTTTTTAAAAAACGACCTTCAGTTATTGTGTGTGTGTTTACAAGTGTATTGTGCACACATACAGAGGTCATGGGCCCTAAGAAATGAACTCAGATTGTTATGCTTGGCAGCAGGCAGCTTCTGTCTGTCTGTCTGTCTGTCTGTCTGTCTGTCTGCTGTCTGTCTGTAACTGTGCCTCTTTCTCTCACACACAGTTTGGGTTGGGTTTTTTTTTTTTTACAAGGTTTCACTGTGTAGTCCTGGCTGCCCTGGAACTCACTATATAGACCAGGCTAGCCACGAGATCCACCTGCCTCTGCCTCCCGAGTGCTGGGATTGTGCCACCACACCTAGCCAGATTAATTTTTTTAATGAGAGCAATATAACAGAGCATGAGAATTATCACACCTGATCAAATCTGGGGAATAGGACAAGCAGAGTCTGCCATGCCCGGTTCTTCACCCGGTGCTGCAGGGAGTTCTCATGGTAGCGAGTTCTGGATCTGGATGTTGACTCATCCTGGGGAGACAGGGTGGAAATCAGAGTAAGCCACCTACCATACCGACAGTATCAGTGACAACTTCACATCTGAAAGGTGTTACTAAGCAACATTACATATACTTCTGTTTCTGCCTCCTTGGTCCTATTTGAATTTGAATCTGCAACTCAGTTCCAATGCCAGCAAGAAGCCAAACAGTCAATGACACCTCTAGAAACAAGATGGCAGCACCCAGCCAGGCTGCATCACAGAGCTTGTCTTTCTGGCTTTCAGCAAGATCAGTCAGGCAGGCCACTTTCTGCAGAGTTTGGGCTCAGACTCCTTTTCTACTACCAAGCTATAGCTTCGGTTCCTGGAGGGTGACTCTTGTCACCAGTCACCGCTGAGCCAAGAAGTCACTGGAGAATGTTATATACCATGTGTGTAAAGTCAGTCGGGCATCTCCTGGGCCATTCCCATCTAAAGTGAGGATGCCTCCACTTCACCTCACAGTGACCTTTCTATGTAAAGCTCTGCTCCTTTACTTTCAGTTCTATCAGCCTCAAGGCAGCCAATAAAATACACGCTTGCTTCCTCAGAGACAACCCCCACATCCAACTCCCACAGTGGGAGCACAGGAGAGGTTTTTTGTTTTTGTTTTTGTTTTTTGTTGTTGTTGTTGTTTTTACATGGAAAGTACTTCCTAGGTTTAAGATACCAAAGATGACCTTCTCCCTGCAGGAAACAGTCCTGTTTTAACACCTGTGACTAAGTGGTTTCCCCAGTCACTCAAGCAACCACAAAGTCAGATAGCAAAGCATATAGGATCATTTAGAATCACTGAAGAGAGACACCACCTCTGTGAGGGAGTTTCTAGATTAGGTGGAGGTGGGAAGACCCACTCTGAATGTAGGCTGTGTGATTTGATGGGCCGGGGTTGTGCGATGCCTAAGGAAACAATGAGCTGAACACTGACATTCACCTCTTCGGCTTCCTGAACGCTGACTCACCAGAGCCACCTCATTCATGCCTTCCTGGTCACTGTGGACTGTACTCTGCCAAAACAAACCCTGCCTTCCTTAAGTTGCCTTTGTCAGGTCCTTTTTCTTTCCTTTTTTTTTTTTTTTTTTTGTGTGTGTGTGTGTGTGTGTGTGTGTGTGTGTTTTGTTTTGTTTTGTTTTTGTTTTTTTGAGACAGGGTTTCTCTGTGGCTTTGGAGACCATCCTGGAAATAGCTCTTGTAGACCAGGCTGGTCTCAAACTCACAGGGATCCGCCTGCCTCTGCCTTCCTGGGATTAAAGGTGTGTGCCACCACCGCCCGGCAGGTCCTTTTTCATGGCAATAAGAAAGTGCCTCCGGGATCCTCAGACCCTCCTGCATGTCTGCTGGCTTGTTCCATTCCAGACATACATAGTGTGTGAATGTGCACAATTAATACAGCACGTTTGGACCGGCAACCAAAGATACACAGGTGAAGACCACAGGGCCAAGAGAACCAAACCAGAGAACCTGAGGTAGTACTAAATAAGCCTTAACCAAAACTACAGAACATCACCGACAGGCTTTCTGTGGCGACAGTTGTTTAGAACCACTCCATGTCATCTCCAGGTCAAACAAAGGGCAAGAGCTAGACTGTGGCCTGTGGAAAGTGGAGTTAATTCAAAGCAGGACAAAGGCTCTTCCTCACCTTATCCAGGAGCTGGATGGCAAGATCTTCTATAAACAACTTGTGGGATATGTCGGAGCCATCTAGCAGACACAAGAATTTGACAGCACAGATTCTCACGTAATAATCTTCTCTCTTAGTGCTTAAAACATAAAATGATAAGCTATGTTAATGTTTTAGAAATAGAGAAAGGCATCCACTGTTTGTACCAAATGCCATCACAAGTACCAAATCCTCCCCTGAAATGTGCTTGAGATTAAGTAGGTCTGTACTTAATGAATAAACATCCTTTTGAACTGGGAGGCAGCAGATTACAACAAATATTTTATTGGAGAACAGCATAGAATGGGCACAAATCCACCAGACCTACACACACACACACCAAAAAACAAAAAATAAACCTGTCCCTATCGATAATGATGTCATAGCAGACCCAGACCCTAGTAAGTGAAAGAGGACAAGAACAAGGGCTCTCAACTCCATGGGCAGTCCCTGCATTCTGCTATACAGGAAGTGTTCTGAATGCCTGCCCATCTGCAGCAAAGTGAAACTGTGGGTATTTCCACAGTTTGGGTTAACTCTTACAATGTTAATAAATATTACTCTAATGTAACAATAAGCACTTGGCAACACTGACTACTATGTTAAAACAGCTCAGCAAACAAATAAACAAAAGGAACTGAAAACAATTAACTGGGCCAGAGTGATGGCTTGGTGTTTAAGATGATGTACTAAGCATCTATAGGACCTGAGTTCGGTTCCCAGCACCCACATCAGGAAGCTCACAACTGCCTTAGACCTCCAGCTCCAGGGGATCCAATACCCTCTGCTGGCCTCTTTAGGTACCTGCACTTGAATTCTCATATCCATATACAAATACACAGATACACATAAACAAACGTCTTTGAAAACAATTAATTATAACAATGCTCACATTTAAGGAAGCATGGCAGATGTTCTGAAGTGAACACCTGCTACAAATATTCACATTAATCACTTGTTGGCCTTAACTCTAAACTCACAATAAATGATGTAACAATCTTTTCATCTTTCAAACACGTGCAAGTTTTTGAAAGATGATGAGAAAATAAGACTTTAAAGTATTTGATAAGCTCCAAAAATTTCAATTTTGGGATGCAGAGATGGCTCACTGGGTAAAGGTGTTTGACATACAAGCCCGACCACCTGATTCT